AGTATTTATGATCGTGAGTGACTTTCTGGAACTGGCGATTGTCCCGGGTTCAATAAAAGCTTTTGGTTTTCGTGCATCATTATCTCCACTTTTCCGGTTAAATTTCAGTTACACCAATACAAAGAGAATCCGGCGCGGCTTGTCATTCACGCGTCATTTTCGAACTGGACTCACAATTCTTCAATTGGTGCTGAAACATTCTGTGAAACGATCGGGCTCGGTACCGTTGGCTACTGGTGAACTATTTTGATCACAAAAATTTTAAAGTCAAGGTTTCTGGTTGATTACTGACCAAATCGGCCAAACACGTCGCTGTGCATACAAATAAACGCACACATACATAATATAACTACCGGTATGATATGCTATGCGACGACTTGGATCTTTTTTCATTTATCTTTTACTTGTCAAATAAAAGAATGACCGGCATTCCGGACGCATAAGCAAATAAAAATGCCGACCAGCAGCTGTTCGTTTTTAATTTTTTCCCCTTACACGCAGTCTCCGCCGTGTGAATGCCGTCTGTGTTCGCAGGCGTGAGCTACCTAACACGAGAAAGTGATCTTATTAATTAATCTTCCTCAATACGTACATAAATTTGCACAATATTACACTCAAGTGAGTGACAAATTAGTGTAAACCATAAGAATTGATGGATAAATGGCAAGCACTTCCGAATAAAATCGGCAGTATGCGAACATCAGTCCTAACATGGATGAACGAAAAAAGAACGGGTTGATTACACATATGCAGTAAACTTTTAAGCCAGACTGAGGAAAAGCATGAATATGAAGCTGCAAACGAAAGACAAAATAGGACGAGAAAGTATTATGGACAGGGCCAAACGCTCAGAAAAAAGTAGAATCAAGAACAGCAGTGAGAAAACTTACTAAATGAGTCATCATCATCACAATCATTATCATCATCATCATCATCATCATCATTATCATCTGGGAAGTTCTCCATCGCTGCCCATGTAACTCCCATTCCAGACTAACGCCTGGACAGTCAGCAACTTCCTTAGTGCTGATCGTCTCCATCTCTTTATGATCCCGTTTTGCCTGGTGATATCAATATTTTCTTGCACTGTATCCAGCTGTAGTTTTACTATAATCGTTGGGATATGCATCAAAGTACCAGCGTCTGTGATAGATTGGCGAAACACAGCACCCACCAGTTTTCACGTCTTTCCTGAGGTTCTTCGTGAGCTGACGTTTCGGGTTCCTTTGCTACCTATGCTCAGACCCCGGGCGGTCGGGAGTTTCCGCTTTTTCTCCATCAGTGTTACGGACCCATCAGATGTCCAGTGCCTCGGACGGGCTACGGCTTCAGATCCACAAGCAACCCTCGCTGCGGAGTGTATTGCTCGTTTTATCTGATACCGTTGTTCATCTACACAACCACGCTGCAGTGCGTTTAGCTCTTGCCATGGTTCTGGTTCAAAGCGGGCACTAATGGCTGGGTACGCTAATCGATGACATACCAGCCGAGTGTGCTGGGTTTTTCTGGCAACCAGTGAGTCAAAGAGTGAATTAGGCCAAAACGTATACGTGGTGAGGCTCAAAGAAAGTAGTTCAATCGGACCCTCAGTTCTGTGCTGCGATACGCCACTAGTGGCTTACTACTATGTGGTCGACGTACCAGTTGAATTGGAGCGCCAAGTTGCTCTCCGTTGAGAGCTATGTTGGAAGTTGTTGCTAGATAGGAACTGATGGTGATCTGCTCAAAACTGAAGAAGTCGATCGCCATTATCTGTTTGTCGGCAGGACAGAGCCCAACGGCCGCATAGGCAAGCTTTCGATACGTTCAGTTTTTCAACTGGCGCGTTAACATGACCTGCGAGTATAGGAGTTTCGGCTCAACCGAATGACTTGGGTGAGTATATCGTAGAAATCGTCCTCTTGCATATCAGAACTGCAGTTGGTCGGTGTATATGCCGATATGATGTACAGACACATTTTGGTGATGCTTCCCTTCCGGGCGCTGATTGCACCCCGGAGATTTGTTGCACATAAACAGCAGTTGATGGGATGAAATCTGTAAGAGAGGACGCGACCCTGTTACTGAGTAGATTACCTCACTCGCGCTCATCCACTGAGGGGGTTTCATCGTCGCCTGACGCGAGACAAACGTACCTCGGGGTGAAACCTTGTGCGTTCAAGTGGCTCCTAGTACTTCGATGCTGAATTCCAGGNTTCCAGGTTCCAACACGATTTATACAGACAAACCAATGGTCTTGCCGTAGGTTCTCCCATCTCTCCCATTGTAGCCAATCTCTTTTTACATTCAATCGAATCAAATGCACTCTCCAGTTTTCATATGCCACCACGTTTGCATGTAAGACACGTAGACTATACTTTTGTCATTATTAAGTCACAACAAACATACATACATTTCTTGATTGTCTCAACAAACAGTGCAGCTCCATCAATTTCAAAATGGAGTCAGAGGATGTGAACAGTCATCGCTTTTCTAGACCGTCACCGCAGGGTGAACGACTCACGCAAATTTACCACCAGCGTTCACAGAAAACCGACACGTTCGGATAAACTTTTACATTTCGAATCAGCTCATCCGCAATGTGTAAGACGGACTCTTATCTCCTCTCTGGCTGACAGAGTCAAAAAGCTCTGTACTGAAGATAATAACCGCCAGATTGGAATGAAACGCCTCAGAAGAGTTATAGAAGACAAGTATTACCCGCCACTTCTGGTAAGATCCCAGGCGGAAGTGAACAAACCAATGATACAACCCAATGACAGAAAAGACCGTGTAGCCTCTATTGACATTCCATATAGATAGGGCACTTCAGAAGCAATCAGAAAGGTTCTTGGTGGTTTCAACATACACACATTCTTTCGGGTTGACAAAACTCAGAAACGCCATCTCGGTCGAATTGAAAGATCAAAACAACTGCATTTACAAAATCAGTTGTAAATAAATGCCCCGCAGAATACATTGGGCAAACCAGTAGACAACTTGAGACAAGAATAACCGAACACAAGAGAAAAGAAAAACACCGGCCTACGGACAACTTAACTCTGGCAAAACTAGAACGATACTCAGCGATCGCTCTTCACGCCATAGCCGAAGGTCACATTATATACTACGACAACCTGAAAATACTCCAAATCGGTTTGCAAACATGCACTGAAGGCTCGTATGCCGACGCTTTGGCCATTAACAATCACTCTACATGTGTCACCAGAGATAACGGAATCGATATCCCGGTCATATGGAGTACCCTAACATCCCTAACGCTCAGTCATGACAAAGGTCACCGTGCTACTTGACCCCATCTGAAAATGGAAGTCAGTATGTCGGACAATGAATCATTCAGCCCACCAAACACACATACACCTCTACACAGAGACACACACACACCCGCGCGCACACGCACGATGAAATATCCGTTAACTTGTGATCCTTTCCTCTGAGTAATTTGATTGTAAATCCTGCCTTTAGAATGGTTACCCACGGTAACCAAAACGTCGGGGAATATAATTTTCTACCGACATCGCTGTGTTATAAACACTGTAACATCCACAATTGGTGAGTAACATCCAAGTTGCTTGAGGGATTATCACAGGTCGGAAGAAAGGGTAAANCTTGCTACACTATCGGCCTCAAGCCACTACAAGCGGGTGAGGTGAAATGGACGCCCATTTATTTGGTTCGATTACTCTCCCACCATTTTTTACCGAGTGAAACGAAAATTCTAGTAGAATACCCAACTTGAAAGACCAGGAGATCGCACTTCGTCTGACCTCTACCTTTCGACCTTCCAGGAATAGTGAGATCTTCGGCTTAACAAAAGCCATCCTGTGTAGCTCGTTGGGTCAGAGCAATGCATAAGCCATTGCACCGCGTCAAGATGCAGTTTGGTTGTGGTAGCTGTCCATACACCGTCCTGAATCGTTTGTATCTTTGGTAGGGAAAGCCGACCGCTTTTTGTTGATCTTAGACTGCTCGTGGCAAACAAATCACTGTTGTCCGTCCATGCAAAAGGGACTTGAAGGATAATGAAAAAACGCATTTGTTTGGCTGAGCGCGTCAAGTCTCAGTTTTCGGGATACATGTAAAGAAGTCAACCGTCTTATTTCTAGCAAAGTGAAAAGCAGGCTGATTCAGCTGTAAACAAATTTAAAATTTCGTTCTTTCATCTGGATCATTTCGCAGTAGAACTAGCGACTTGAAGAAAGCGCTCCCTACATTTTTCACAGTTGAAGTGTTCTGCTTTTCACTTTGTTAGGAAAAAGACGGTTGACTTTTTTACAAACGATTTAGGAAGGTGTGCGAACGGCCTTGTGATTTGTGATCGCCCATTGCCATTTCACACAGTTTCATCGGGTAAAAGTGCCTATGGACAAAAGCTGAGAATTTTTACTAAACAATGTTTCGGGCTTGATGAATCATCTGGTGGTATCAAATTCACCAAATCCAAAATGCATTTCAAGGAAGAGTAAGTTATTTGTTTAGTTGCGAGAACACCAAGGAGAAACAGTGAAAATCAAATTTCGTTGCATGCTACTTGTAAGTAGTCAAAGCGTATCCTCAAAGATTCATAAATTTCGTGTATACGTTTATAATAATGCATGATTTTGCACACGGGTTGTGTATTAGTGACGTGAGTAGACTCATATGAACTTAATGCATGTGACACTCCTAAAACACGTGAGTGATAAACTGAGGTTTGAATGACGAGATCAATATGCAGCCAACTAAAAATACGTAGAGCTTAAGTTCAAGACATTGGTGTCTGAATGTGTCTTGAAACTAATGAATAAACATGACCTAAAGCTAGAAGCACCAGAAAAGAATTAGTTACCATGAGGCATAGTGAAGAATACAAAAGGGGAACACAACAGTCTCAAAGTTTAGATCGAGTGACTGACGGATTTCGGGAAGTGGCAGACAGGAAATTTCAAACACCACATCGGCCAGATTACCGACGATTTCCTTCGATTGTGTATAGAGAAAATTCTTCAACTCTACTGGATATGTCCTCTTCACAGACCCCTTCAGGAAGGACAGATGCAAAGAAAAGCGAGGGTGATCGACCATTTAAAACCACTGAGAATTCAGACGTATCTTATTACATTCCTAAAGACAAATGGGGTGATCCAGTGAGTGTTCAGCATAGTGAACAACAACAATCCCAACCTATGACGGATAAATCGAATGACAAAACTTTGGAGGACAGAAAGAAGGCTTGTACAGACTATATGACCAGTTCCGGTTTTCAGGGCTATCAACAAACCTGCTCAATTTGTCGACGTGTGTATGGTTCAGTTTCCATTGGTATTCATCTGAGAGCGTGTCAGGCACTTAGCGATCTGCGTAGCAGTCAGCTTGCTGCTCAATTGGCATGGAAAAATAAAATGAGTCAAAGACCAGCACATCCACCCGGAACCATTTGTTACATCTGTGGTCGTCGGTATACGAACGCTTCTTGGAATCTTCATGTGAGACGGTGTCAACAGAAATGGGAACTGTGGAATTCACTCTTGCCTAAAGACAAGCAGCGCAGATTTCCTCCAGTCAATCCCGAACCAAATGAAGAAGAGCTCCAAAGACGAGTGAACAAGGCACACGAGAGAGGCTTAACCTATTATTTACAAGAAGATGCTCTGGACGAGATCATGTTGGAAGAAAGTGAAAAGAATCGCTTACCTTTAGATTTACTACGTTGAATCTGAATTATCGCAGTTTCAATAAAAAACTTTGGTCAAGCATGAGTTGAAATATCAGAATACTGAAGAAATACATCATTCTACAATAATATGACTGAATAGACAGATTGCTATTCTCCCTCTGAAGTAACACCTCGCACGAACGGTGGATGGCCACTGAAACATGAAACTAACGTACCTGGCTTAATTTATGTTCATTGAGTTTATAACTAGATGTGAAATCAGAATCTCATTTGGTGTAGACCCATATTACACCACCTTGAACTCTACCGTGGCGAACGAAAATAATTGCAATTTAAGGGAATTTCTCATCGGGGATAGATACAAACAACATTCGACCCTAGTGATATATTAGTCCAGCATAGTTATGCCCAGGTAATCATACGAGAAGATCAGACTACTTTGGTCAGTGTCTGGATCGAGGTAAACGCTGTAGATTCAAAGTGTTAACGAGTAGTATCACGCAATCATGAAATGTCTAACGTCATTTGCTTATCCTTCAAATTTGGAATTATCTAGGTGAGATTCTGCATTTTACGGTGCGACAGCCCATCGTTTTATTCGTTTATTTTTCATTTGAAGATGTCGACAGCCAATAAATATGAAATAGGGAGGGGGAGGACTTTCACCCCTGATCGAAACATGCAGCCCCATGTGTTCATACTTCAAATGAGTAGTTCTTTCGATACATAAGAAGCATCGCGAGTGACATATCCGCTGTTATGATGCCTCCAAGCTTTACGGGGAAGGTGCTGCGTAGATTTCCACTCCCATTTTGGTGTAGCACTCAGTTTCTAGGTTGTTGTTGTTTTGATTCGCCATTCGTGCACCATACCAACACCGGTCAATTTAGCGTTATTCACAAATGGATTGAAGCAAAAATCGTCATTGACTTCCTTACGGTTCAAAATGAATACAAAGAAGCAGACAGTTATTTATGAGGTTTTGCAAAGCTGGGAAGTTTACTGTTTGGATACTGAAAGCTTTAGAGAAACAAAACTCTGTGGTTTTCAAGTTTACATGGTGATGCAGAGAAACCAGAACATATTGTAGCCCCTTTATAGAGTTACCGGTGCGGAAAAAATTCGAATTTGGAATCTTGGCGATGTTGCGCAATACAATAGAAAAGGGTTTCAGTTACAGATAGTAGCCGGATGGATGCCTGGAAGTGAAACGTACAAACGAAATGCATCAATTGACATGAGATGATGGGAAAACCAAACTTGTATTTAGCACAGTGAAAGTCGGACTGAGTTTATGTCATTTTGTGATATAACGGAAAAGAGGTAAATCTGCTTTTGCCGATGTACTGGTTACGGGTAACAATGGAACTGAAAGGGGCATCAGTTGGACTCTGTTCTAACCTCAGAGATGGTTTCTATATACTGAGCCACTTAAATGCCCATTCTTGGATGAATAACGTTGTTCACCAACTGTTGGTCCAAGGTTTTCAATCCGGTTAGTTTTCTAGGATGCAAAACACTAGTGTTTTGCCATTCAGATTCGGATTCAAACACACATCAGTAAGCGATACCAGCAGTTCTCTCAGGCTGACGTCCCCGGGATTGGAAACAGGCGAACTTGACGGTGAACTGATTATCTTGTACTGTTCATCATTCTGAGAAAGAATTCTGCTGAATCATAATTTTCTGGTTCGATAATAACGTAATTATTCATTTTAATGTTCATATGAATAAATGACTATCCAGGAAAGTGCTTTAAGTTAACACCACTTAATTGAAAGCTTATTATTATCGAAGACACTCCACAGAAAATGTGTTCCTCCAGTCGACAATCTGACTGTTTTATCTTCTCCTGAATTAGCCAGTTAGGTTGACATAGTTTGCAGCACCAATTTATTCTCATATTGTGAAATAAAATGGGTTGACAGATCCGGTGTGGACCGGTATGAATTATTTCACTGACCATCAATTTAGATGATATTATTCAGNTATATATATATATATATATATATATATATATATATATATATATATATGTAGTGCTGTATTTGGCTCGTAAACGAGGCACCGAAACCAGCTTGTTTGCCAAATTGACTTCTTGATGCGATCGACGGGTATTTTCCAGTATATATAAACACCAATCTTTAAAGATACGGCGCAAAAATAACCATGCGTTAACGAAAAATATAGGAAATAAAGCGGAAAGACAGTCAGTAGTCAACGTCATAGCCTGCCCACCTCGATGTTTCTTCCAGTCTTGACTGATGTCTGCGAATAGTGCACGGTTCAACAGACGTTGTTCAGGAATTCGTAGTACATCCCCTAGTCACCCAAGATGATGCTGTGAAATCGTTTTGCTGAACGGAAGACTACATGATCCTAGCACACGTCGTCTGACCTCATCGTTATTCACGCAAACAACTGGTAGTATTTTTAGCTTCAAGCCAACAATACCCAACATGACAAGGCTGGATTCGTCACTGCAACTTGTAGTGTGACCAGAACTTCTGTAAAGGACTAATTAATAGGAGCGCTTTGTTGTGCTAACGTTTGATAAACGGGGACGTAGGGCTGTTAACATTCAGTTTTCGGTACGACGATCATAAGCTGGGATAATTTTTTCAATTATTAATCTTACACTTTCGTACGATAAGTTTGGTTGCTGTTTATAGCTAATCATTTGGTGTGGAAACAACAAAGCAAACAGGAGCATCACGTCAAATACAGAACGCTGTGGGTAGAATTCCAGAATGTTTACAAGCGCCACAGTTTCGGATACGGTCACATCACCTGGCCCTTACCACTTTCACTGTTAACCACACTTTGAATGACATTTAGTGTATATATACATAATATATAGCCTAAATGCTTCTCAAGTCTTCTCGTGACTGATGCCTCCAGAAGCTGTGTTATTTGGCTGTAAGCGGTTTTCCAACTGACAAACAATTTGGTTTCTTTTTGTAAGCTTGTAACCAATTTTGGAGAACTGCGATCGACCTAAAACGCAATAATAGCTGCTCACATCATGTGACAAACAGGAATTAAGAGTTTCACGTGGTCTATACACCCTCTCAGTCACGGTACCGATGTCTGACTATCTCTTTCCGTTTCTTTTGCAATCCATCAATCTCTCGCGCTGGTAAATGAATTCCTCTTAAGTTCGGTTAAGGAAATCACCTTGGAGATAAATCTGACTTCCTCGCTTATGTCAGAAGTTGAAAAGTGGTGGACTCTGATCAACCTTTGCTTGTCAGGCAGTAAATTAAATGGCAGATTAATCATGAGACATGTTGCCACGCCACCGACACGCGTGACCCAATGTGTATTCAATGTATAACACTCATTAGTGTATGGGTTGTTTAAGCGTATCCGCAAACGAGCTCTTTGGTATCCCTATCTACACACAATTATTTCCACAATTATTTAAGAAAAATCTTTCGCAAATCATTTCGTTAAAGCTCAAGGGATATCGAGATAAAATCTGTAGTTTCGATAGCAGTTTTTTCTCTGCACCGTATTACGCTGGTGAAAGCGCCTGTAATGCTGTTGATATCCACTGAAACAAAAACGTTGCATTTATGTTTTGGGTTATATGGCTAAAAGCACAAACGTATTGATTTATTCTGACTATTTTCTGTGGACTGCAATTTGCTTTCATCACAGTACCCTCTCGCTCTGGAATGCGATGTGCGAAATGCTCCACTGTTCTGAAACAGAGTCATCGAAATTCCAGCCACGGTTTTCAGCTAAAAGGAGAAACTGAGCGTAAACGGGGTGTATGCACAGTGGATTAATATATGTTGGGTAACACCAAGGGTTCGTATGCATTGATCTAAGTTGAAATCGAAAAAAAACAGTTAAAGTTTGAATACAGTGTTTATTGCACAGTACTGTATAGCACGTTTGCAGCTCGGTATTTTCAAAAATTATCTATTGTTTAAAACATAGCTATGCAGCATATGGAATTGACAAGCAGACATTAGGTTACTCTTATTCCAGTGTTGTTGATGGTCATCTACAGTAGGTATCCTGATAGCTGAAATTATCATTTTGTCCATCGAGGCTAAAATAAAAGATCATTGCTATTATTACTGCTTTATTGGTTATCAACCTACCGATGAAAATACCACTCAGATTGTATCAAATCGCCTTGCAAGTTGAATTGCTTGTGTTCGAAAACCTGAGGGAAGACTATTAATGGAATTATAAAGTTGGGTTGTGTTTTGGGTGTTCCGAGAAAACTATTTAGTCTAACCAACCGCTTGCAAAACACCCGATGCGCTTTTAATTCTGATGATAATGTTTGTGTGATGACATAAAATGCACTGAACACTTGGGTAACCTCAGTTGAAACTGGCTAACGAATAGCAAGGTTTGAAGTTTAGCTTCAAAACACCATGTAGCTCAGGAAAAATAATTTCAGCTCCCAACCATTACCAAAGATGAAGAAACAAATGCGTACTGCTCTTTTTCCGTTACCCCAAAAAGGGGCATTCCTGCCACAGATTAAAACATGGAGGAGACAACTGAATTCTTAAATCATTAATCAAAAGCAGTAAAACTCCGTAATGAGTATCTTGTGCCTGTGAAACAGATCAGGCTTATTCAGCAATAATATCATTATTGCTAATGGTGTTAATGGATTTGCATTATTTACGACATCCAAAAAGAGTGAACTAGAGTTTTCTGACTTACATCAACTATTTGGTATGAAAGTATTGCCTCTTGGGATGCCCAATCGACATTCATACCCCGGAAAACACACTGTTCCATCCTCCTTGTAACTTATCATCGACAGTTGATTGCAGTGATTGGATTCATGCCATAGCCACATGATACAGCATCCATCCGTCTTAAACAGATTTTAACTTAACGTTATGGTCCTTATTATGTTATTTCCTTGCTTCTCTCCTTCTCTCGTTTCTCCAGTTTGAACCTGTTAAGAGCATGTACAAATTTCAGTGATTTCTGTGACACGAACTAGTTTGATGCACTCTGTGCAGTGTTTCGTGACCTCAGTAATCGTCAACAAACATT